GGTTCATCAAGTTGAAAATCTAACCATGTTCCTATATTTGTAAACAGTGGAGACGCAGAACGTCGGCGGACCTTGTTTTGAGAATGATATGACATGTTTTGAGCCTTTATGAGAGGTCTAAGTGCTAGGCAGGCGTCCGTTGTCACTTTCAAGACTCTTTAGGTAGCGCAGTCCTCCGTTCACCACTTCCTTTGAAGCTAAAAAACTCCTCTATGAAGGAATCGACGTCGAGTAATAGTTCACCGCAAGTCAGGTGATAGAATTCCTTGACAAGCAAGACTAGCAGTCGAGCTTGTGGCGGTTAAAATGAATCATACCTCTTTATTCGACCGCTTTTACATGAACCTCGCTCAAAAACAATAATAGCGTGATAATAATATAAAATGATATATAAAACTTACTATGAGATCCCCCTCATCAGACGTGAATGAGAAGCAAGTGAATCCTCTTGTTGAAAAAGCTCACATCTCATGCGAGTGTCATTACACTACTTGTTAAAGGACGCAAAGATATCTTCTAGGCGAGTGTGCCAGCAGGAAGTCTTCGAATCACATCGCGAAACTTCACGGATTCCCTGTTCCCGAGTGACTAGTTGAGGTACAGTCAGCGCTGTTTATTCATCGGCTTCTATGAGAAATAATATGATAGATAAGCAGCTTCCGTGTCGTTTTCATTGAGCTATTGTCTGCTGTAACATTTTCCTTCCGCTTCCGATAGGATACTGTGATTAATAAACGAATTCCAAGCAATAAGAAACGAGCACCATTCTTTTCTATGATTTGAAGCGATTAACAAAATTTTATACTGTCGCTTTGAAAGAACATATGGCAATTGTTTTATCATAGCTGGCCTAGCCAACGGTTGTCACTCTGCTATAATTCAATGCCGATTTCCATTTACCCTCGGCGTGCCTAACTAAATTTTCTCGACTCATATGAACGGTGAATGAGGCCACATATTCGTATTGCCACAGTTTATTGTTGACCATAAAAAATGCAGATTATATATATCTACGATGACAGCTTACTGTGTTCAATGCCGAGATGTGCCTGCCACCGTCTGTGACTGCGAATCTTGCAAGGGCACGTGGTGCGTCCCTAGGTGGTGGATAAAAGAATTAAACGCGAACCAAAAGCGTCCTTTCGATTCTTTCAAACGACAATAACCCGTAGCGGACAACTGTGGTTAAAACGAAGTGGACTCGTACTTTTCGAGTAGTCGCTCGTCAAGAACAGAAATTCTAAGAACCCTTTAAACCTTGGTATGAAGCATCATTATTCTTCTTGGGTACTAGGCTAACGCGAGCTCGGTTATAAGTTTTGCTGGCAACGTTTTGACATCACCATTCTTTTTCAAATTCGCACTGATTTAAGTAAATTGTTTGCAACTGTTCGTCACCACATTGCAAAATTTTCGTTGTGTAGGATCACTAAATAACACGAGCTAACATAGCTGCGCCTTTCTCGATAAGCAAGCCGGAGGCTGTAAATACTTCGAGCATGAAATGGGGAATTGTAATACGGACCAAGTGAAATTGTGGTGCGGATAAAATGAGGCGAAAAGCTGTGATAAGGGTCAAATGAAGTGATAAACTGATACGGCCATTAAAGCACAACTTTATCAATCAAAATAGTGACTATTGGAGGTTGCACGGTTTTGTCAGTAAGATTTGTGTACTATTGTAAAGTAGCGTTATAAGATCGAAGAAAAGTTTTCTATTTTCTTATGAGTCAGGCGCAAGGTTTCATTACACTATTTACTTAAGCAGGCGACGTGTTGGCAGTTTCGCCTTCTTCAGAGCTGGAAAGACCAGATTATCCACAATTCATAATACGAAACATTTCCATTACTTTTCTAGAAAAAAATCACCACATCTGCACTCCAACTGCATAATGTACTAAACCAACTTTCAACATACTTACCGTTTTCAGAAGTCCATCACATGGGCTTGTAATGTGCCTATAACATCAAAACAACTGTCTTATAAAATTAATTACCGCGCGTAATACGGATGAGTTTGTCTGAGTAATCTTCAGTGTAAAACGTTCGTCGTCGCTAATTCTTAGTGTGGGGACTGGAGCACCCACATTGGATTGGCAAAAGACGAGAAAGGGTAAATGCGCGACTGACCAGATCGCAAGTTGAAACACGTGTATCGGGCTCTATAATTCAGCCACTTCAATAGACCACTGACATGACATACGTGGCTCAAAAAATGATTACCAGCCATATTGAAATTTGAGCTGTGGTCTTAAGAAAACACTTTAAACGAAAGATCATTAGACAATTTATCTTTTCAAACTCTAAGAAAGATGATGTCTGCTGAAATATCAGTTGATTATAACACCCTCATGTTCTGGCCTATCACAAAAAAAAAACTGCGAATCATCTTTCATTTGTGGTCTTTTCTGACAGAAGGAACAAATGAAAACCAATCTCATTCCTCGGAGAGAAGCTTTCAGAAGAGTGCTAGTGATGCCGCAAACAACGTGGCATAAATGTAATAGGGTTGAAAAGAAAATTTACACCGTTTGGATGGGATCTCTCTTTTTTTCGCATGAATCGTGTTTGATTTTCATATCATTTGAAAGGTCAACGCTGATCTTTACTGCGAGCAGCTGGACCAAGTTTACGACAAATTGGTGGGGAAAGTACCAGAACTTGTCCCTCGAAAGCGCGTTTTGTTCCAGTAGGGCAACGCCAAAACCACACACAGCCAAAAAGACCAAGGAAAAGTTTGAGGAATAGGATGGAATTGATATTTTACGGCATCCGCCTTATAGTCTTGACGTGGCTTCATATAATTACGACCTTTTCCGATCAATGCGACACTTTTTGAAAGGTCGACGATTTGAATCTTTCGATGAAACTGAAGAAGCATGTCAAGAGTTCTTTGATTCAAAGCCAAAGGAGTATATCTTGATCAGATCTAAAACGTGGCGGACCGATGGCAAAAAGTGGTAGATAAGGTTGGCCTGCACTTTGAAAATAGTTTTTGCTATTTGTTGTCTGATTATATGCATAAATTTCGAATGTGTTATCAAACAATGGAAACTTTCTTTCCAACGTAGTAAAACGCGATCTTATTTTCCCTGCCAAACCATATTTCCACAACATAAGCATAACGTTAGAACCAGAGAACATTACGCTATCATGTCTTTCGATTTGAGTGTTTTCTTAAGACCACTGCTCAAATTTCATTATGTTTGTTTAATCATTATTTGAGCCACGCATGTCAGTGGTCTATCAGTGAGGGCTGACTTATAGAGCCCGATACACGTGTTTCGATCTTGCGATCTCGTCAGTCGGGCAGTTACCCTTTCTCGTCTTTGTTGATCTCTGTGGGAGCTCCAGTCCCCACACTAATAGTTAGCTGTTAGTGTTCGGTGAAACTTTCAACTGAACATAGAGTGTAAATCGTACGCCGTCGCTAACTCCTAGTGCAGGGACTGAAGCTCTCACAGAGATTAGCAAAAGACGAGAAAGGTAACTGCCCGACTGACGAGATCGCAAGATCGAAACACGTGTATCGAGCTCTATAAGTCAACCCTCATTGATAGACCACTGGCAGCGTGGCTCAAATAATGATTATCAGGCATATTACGCAATCAGTTGGTTACTAATAGTCTAATGAAAAATCTCTGTCCGGCAAGGCCAAGGAACAAATTGAAAGGACCAGAGGAGATCAAGGATCAAAAGAGGTTTTAAGAAAGCAAGCACATTTTTGAGTACTTTGAGGCTTGTCCTATAGTTTGAATAGTAGTACTTTAAGGAAGAGACTTTGTCCAGCGAAATATAAGCAAGATGAGAGAAAAAACACGTGGCTTTGTGAAAACATGACATGTTTTTGAATGTTAGAGGTGTTTTCGAAAATCGGAGACGTAGGGTTGTAGTCTCAAGTCTCAGCTCTTGAATGGTTACTATAATTTCTGTGGAAAATTCCTCTCCAGCGAATGAGATCGCTTTTTCATTTGTTCCTCCTAATCACAAAGAGCTCATTTATTTCGATTGCCTGCATTTACCATCATATGACGTTCTTTGATCACTAAAGTAGCACTATTCATAAATGAAGCTTTGACGAAACTTTATTCACACTATCATTGACAGAATAGTTTCATAGAAGTATTGGTTCAAAATTGCCGACTCACTACAGTATCTCAACAAAAATGCAAGGAATATGGTAAAGCAAAGTTGCTGTTCGTTAAGTAATTGAGCTAGAACAATACTACATTACATATAGATGTATATATATATGTATATATATATATATATTTATAATGGAACATTTGCAAACGCGAGCGGCTTCCTCATGGAACTATTACGATGCGGAAGTGCTGCAACACGGAAGTGCTAGAACACGATATTGTTATTACTCAGCTCCATTCGGCTTTCATAAAACTTCATGACAGAGTAAATTATCCAAAAGCGTCAACGATGCTTTCGACTTTCTATTCACGAGAGAGGCATAACGGGTTTACATCGTTGCGACTGGACAAAATTCCGCTAAGATATTGAGATTAAGAGGTAATTTTTCTTTTTTCCCGCTACCTTGCTACGTTCCCCACACAGAGACGTACAACTTTCCATTACAACTACAGTACATTGAGTGAAAGGCTTTTTAGAGTAATACGTCCATGCCGTCGCTTTCTTGATAGTAATAGGTTAAGGGAAATTTATTGACACTTGCTGAAAATGTAGAGTTTCTACATAAGTTTGAATGAAAACAATAATGATTACTCTTCAAAATAAAAGCCCATCATCATCCGTGAACTTCTGTCAACAATCTGTAAGCTTCAGGATCTGCTCGAAATACCAGTTCTTGTAACATCGTACTACCGCAAGTGGCGGTCAGATAAAAGGAATTCTGATTGAATATAGTAACCCAATATCTGTCAATACAAGTGGGTTCAACGCCGATAGCGGCTGCCCCGCCAGACCGTCGACTGTAGGCTGTTGACAGAAAACGCCTTGTAGCGTACAAAGAGTGCTGTGCAAAACGTGCGTCGGTGATGCAACAGTTAGCATACGCTACAGGAAAGAGTGAGATCTGGGTTCGAATCTCAGCTGACGCAAATGTTACTGCACAAACACTTCACATTAGTGGGTATATTTCTTCGACTTTCATACGGAAAGCTGCTGATATGCTCTTCAACTTGATCAAATGTCTCGAAGCGACGTCCGAGAAGAAATGCTCCAGCAAGTCATGCTTAAGCGGTGCAGCAACTGGACTGTAGGCTGGATGCGGACAAGACTTCTACTCCTCTAATTCATAAAACTTCCCATAGTTTCAGCGCGATGTGAGGTTGGCGTTATCTTGCTGAAACAACGCTCTTTCGACGAGTCAGTATCGGATACTTTTTCCTCAACGCATCGTAGACTCGGTCCAGTTGCTCGCAGTAGAGTCCGGCATTAATAGCGAGATCATCCAGCACAAGTTTTGGCATAAAGCCGAATTTTGCTGATGTTAAGAAACTGCTCCTTAACCTAGTAACTTTGAGAAGTGGAAGTGAGTTTTTCTACGTCTAATCGCCAAGTGTTTAAGCAACCATGAATGATCACTGATTGTATTAAGCATCACTCTGCGTCGTTTGAAACGGCTGAAACAGCACGATGGCCCTAGTAGATGTTATGCGCTGATTGCTCTCGTTAGGCGAATAACGATATTTGTTTCAACAAAAACTCTTCAAATGCACGAAGACCTTGGTTACGATTAGGCACATGAAAAGGGCGGCTTTTTGCCGCTAGGTAGATCAATTAATGCTGGTATTACCAGTTGGTTTTTTGTATTAAAAGGCTACTTCATACCTGAAAATTAGGAAATAAATATTTATAGTCAAGATCATCTCCGGATTACTTTGGAGCTAAAGTTCCGAAATGAGTCGCACTGAACACTTATGCTTAATAGAAAAATCTTGAATTTTTCAAACAATTTTTCCTAAGCAATTGAAGAAATGAAACAATTCGAAGAAATAGGGAGACCAGATAGATTGCTGAAGAGTCGCGATCTTTACGAATCGGATGTGACTTTAACATAAAACGAATTATGGAATTTTGTTTGTCTGCATTTGGTGCAGAAACTGAACGATTTCATGGCGTTCCATAACCAAGCACCTTGATGATAAAATAACTGAAAAGACTGAAAAGAAGAAAAAATAACTGAAACGTCAAAAACATGATTCAAGAAGCTTCGGCTTGGTGCGACATCAGTCAATTTGTACACCGTCCACTTCTTCAACTTAGTTCCCGACCAACTTTCTAAAGTGCTCCATTTCTTGGTCTGGCAGCAGGACCTGTTGAGCTCAGTTCACTTATCTTTTCCGAAAACCAACACAAACCCGGTTTCTCTCCTTCATAGTAAGCGGATTCTCGGTGCCATATCATTACCGGTGCTTGCAAATTCTTCAGTAGAATTCTGCAGAAGTGCTTACTTTGTCTGCCAGTCGTCTTCTCCATCAACAAAAGAGGTTTCGATAGGGGTCTCAAGTGGGAGAAGATGATGAGGCATCAGAGGTAAACAAAGTCCTGATATCTAATGTATAGATTACTACTTCATACAGCGTACAGCTCCGGAACTGTTCCGCAACATGGATAATGAAGTCGTTTGACTGGGACGAGAAGGGCATGTGCATCGATAGAAAATACCTGTCAAACCTTCGTTTTGTGGATGACATTGTCTTATTCTCGAAAAGCACTACTGAAGCAGAAACGACGCTCAAGGAACTCAACGAAACGGGAAGAAGATCGGACCACGCATAAAGTGCATGAAGATCCAGTTCATGAAAAGCCAATGGTGCAATGATGAAAATATCAGAACTGGATGGACTTTGGATTACGAAGAACTCCTCGCACGTGTACCTTGGCTGTTCACTGAATATGCAAAACAACATGAAGGAGGAACTCGGCGGAAGAAGGAAAGCAGCGTGGCTGCATTCTTGCCTCTCGAAGAAGTCACCAACCAGGTAACGGATCCCAAATCGCGCGCTAACTTTTTCGATTCAGCAGTCCTCCCAGCGCTCTGTTATGCGAAAGTAACGTGGACTGATACCTCAACCACGTCAAACTGTTGCGAACACTCACAGAGCGCTCGACACGATGTATTCTGAGATTTAGTCTGCTTTCACAACATCTAGTCGGCTTGTGAAGCTCAGATATCCGCCATTTATCTTATCTTGTGATCCAGAAGAACTCACATCGATAGCGAAGCACATATGGGTCGGTCGTATACTAAGAAGACCAGGAGACAGATGGTAGAAACGAACTGCAGACTGGACGCCAAGAGAATGCACTCGTCCACCAGGACGACTACCTACGCTTTAGCGAGCATATCATTAGAAGAATCAATCAGCTGTATTCATATTTATATCGCATCGTGTATTCGTACCTTCCGATATCTACCGATCACGATATGAAACTCACTCCAGTGGCCATTCTTGAACGAAACCACCGTCATGGACGACTATCGCGAGAATGCGAGACGTTTGGAAGATGTACTGTGGTCCGTACGATTCGTGAAGGCACACCTTTCAAGTATGCAAGTATCCAAGTGGTAGTAATAGACCTTATAATTTCCTTCTTAATCAGGTGCCATAACACACCTCGCTCCGGTTGTGCTACCAGAAGTTTTGATCTTCTATAGTGGGCGTGACTACAGCTCTTACTGGTGCGCGCTTTGAGACGGTTACGTTCAAATAACCTTGGAGAACTGGAGCGTCCTTATTCACCATTTTAAAGGCTTAGAAAGAGTGTGTTCTTCTTAAACATGTAATTCTTGCAGCTTGGTCCATGATGACAGCTGTTCAGCACACGCTCCCGAAAAGAGTGAGATCTGGGTTCGAATCCCGGCTGACGCATATGTTTTTGCACACCACTCTACATATTGGGCATATTGTAAGATCATGACACCGCAAGTGGCGGTCAAATAAATATAATTTGGATTGATTATTATCAAGTTCGTAATCATTAGCATTATCAAAAGCATCGTCAATCACTATCACAGTCATTATCATTATGCTTATCATTCAACGATATAGTTTTGTCGTTGAACCTTAAGAAATGTAGATTGAAACATGAAAGACATAGATGCTCTCTTTACTGAAAAATATCTCTGTAAAAACTTTTTCTGTGAAACTCCATCATTTCATGATGAAAATGTTTGCGCCGAACCACCTCGGTTCGCCTCCCCGCACTCATCATGCTGTCTGGAGTATGTCTTCTTACGAGATTCACTGCTTTCTCAGCGTCGGCGACGCCGCCATTGCAGTAATTGAGGAGACTTGACGCGTGCGGTGTAGGACAAAACGTCTCACATGGTCCTCAATGTGTAAACTGAATATAGACTTATTTATGATGACTGAATAATACCAAAGCTATGAACACGAGATGTATCCAAATTCATTGTTTGTTTCATCCTTGCAATCTCTTTCGCGCTAAGTTTTTTCATGGACAGTAGTAAGGCATCGATATGAGTGTTTTCTTGAATCATAAGCGAACATAAGTCCCCTGCGTAACTTGTTATTTACGAATTACTCAACCTCTTTTTTGAAGAACAATCCAAGTTCTTCACATTGCACACCTTGATGTGACTCTGATTAATAGGCACTTATGTGATTTACAAGTTTATGCCTGCTGTAGCGACTGAATAATCATCGCTCACATAAAAATGCTCGACTCAAACAAATCATTTCGTTTTCAGTTTCCGCCGACAGTGGCCCTTGCCGAGAATGAAGTGCGATTCGAATGGACGCGATGCCAGCATTCGAACGGCTCTATCCACTACACTTTGCCACATCATTCTCGACCAGTTCGCCATGATGATATTTGTGGTCTGCAAAGATTATTTCCTACAAAAGGACTTCGATTAAAAAAGGCAGGCTGTTCAGACCGAAAGAGTTCCTGCAATTGTCAAGAATGTGTCGTTAACAGGCGTTATTGTCACCATATTCATCACTGTTGTCATACACATTGCAGCTGCCCCGTTCGTTGTAGTGCAAATTCCTGTCACCCTGTTGTCGACGGCGATACAGCTCACTTGATTCGCGCCAGCTGCAGAGAATTATAGGTCTAAGAAGAACACACTCTTTTCATTACATTAGAAAACTTAGAAATACTAAAATCGCATTTAACGAATGATTTCATTCTGGACTCATTTTATTTGACCGCCTTTGTCGCTGGATTATGATTTATTAATATACCCAATGATAAAGAGTTATATGCAAAACATTTGCGTCAACTGGGATTTGAACCCAAATTTTGATTTCGTTCTCTTGTTAAGGCTCTTTTCGCTCTTGTCATCAAAACTTTATGATCGAAGAACCTGGATTCATTACCATTGCGATAGTTTTCTCATACTGCAGAACATTTTCTTGTGAACCTGTTCAAACTGTCCATTTTTCTATTTTTAAAATAATGGACACTTTTTGCTTTTAATGTCTGCTATACTTTGTTCGCAATCTTCAAAATGGTTGTGAATGCTCAAGACCCACGCGTGTCCGTTGGTCTAACAACCTCGGCAATTCAATGGTGTGTAATTGATCGTAACATTCAGTTGACTCAAAATGCCGAAATTACAGCATCGGTAAAGTGCGCTACGACCTGCGTTCAAGAACATCAAAGACCTGAAAAATTTCATACTGTTCATTTTGAGTGTTTTCTTAGGACCACGCTCAAATTTCAGCGTATTTGATAAGTATTCTCAAGCCAACATTTCATGTAGCCTTTCATAGGCAACTTATAGACCCCAACACATGTGTTTCGGCCTTGACAGCCTCATCAGTTGGGCAGTAACCTTCGTCTTACTCAATCCTTTCGAATATCTTCATAGAGCAGGCGTCGACGTACAATTTACGCGCGCCGTCGAGTGAAATAAACCACTAGCACAGAGGTGTTCCACACTCTCATACTCTTAGGCTGGTATCTATAAAATCTCATACCACTCGTTTCGAGTGTGCGCCGTCTTACTCTGTGTGAGAGGACGGGGACCTTTGAGAGGATTAGCTACGACGAACGGTACTACCGACTGAAGAAGCTGTGAAGGCCGAAAACGCATGTCTTGAGCCCTACAAGATGCCCATAA